AGCGAACGGACGTGAGGTTACGCCATAATGACACGAGAAGCCGCTCTACGTGTCGCGAGCGCCGCTGACACGTCGTATGACCATAGCTAGACTTTAATAGAACGGAACGAAATGAGAAGAAAAAGCAATGTGGAACAAAATGTACGAGCACCGGAGGTGCTATAGAAAATTGAGGAGAGAGGAAGTGTAGTAAGCTAGAGTGCGTACGTTTGTTTAATTAGCTATCCCAGTCTCCTTGTCGTTGCTCTTTTTCGCTTATCCTATGTACCTCCAGTGGCTCCGTCCCGAGCCTTGGCCCATCAAAAGCAAAACGTTCAGATGCTGGCAACGCGCGTCATGTTACGATGAGGTTTTGGAGACTGTCGGTGATGAATTCGAGTAGGTGTGGAGGCTGTTTTCGAGGTCAGCGGTCGTGTAGCAGCGGTTGGATGTATGATAGGATGAACAGAATGTGTACGTACCTTTTCTTCTCTTCCTTACAACTTCCGACAAGGGTGGTGTCGTAGACTCAGACTATAAGGCGTACGGGCTTTGTATGTTAATTTTCTTCCATCTGGTCTTATGCGTTGACCAATATTCGGGCGTTGTATTATAGCAGACCTCCGTGTCGTCGACGCTTCCGACTGACAAAAGCCACCCCGGTAATCGGAGCCACCGCAATGAGCGAGAGGCGCCATCGAGCGTCTAGCGCCGTCGACTACGCTCATCGCGAAAGAAGACGTGCTTTCATTCTTCTTCTACACCACCGCCATCTCACTCGCCACTCTCCCTCAACAGCGAAACATCGCTCAACTGGCAGACGACACAGATGGGGAAAATGCGAGGGAGAAACGACGCCAGCTATCACTCAAAATCCAGCGCTACAGATCCAAAGCCCACATCGCGTCCTTCTGGCGTCGTCTTCGTTTCGTGGTCGTCCCGATACCCTCGCTCGCACGCACGCACTCACGCACGCATCCACAGAAGTGCTCGAACATGACCGAACAAGCGTGCACACGTACGCGAGCTATCAGGGGAGGAAAAGGAACAGGAAGATGGGGGAGAGCTGAGGATCAGAACAAACCGAGGGCGTAAACGATCATTTGTCCCCAGTGCGTTCTATCTCTTTGGTTTTGCTCTCAAATCCTTCGGCCCCGATCCATCAACCCTCCCTACCTTCAATCCCAGTCCTGCTCGCCTTCCTCCACCGAGACCGAGATCATTGAGAAGGCCGACTCGATCCTCCAACCGGGCTGCGTCCCCTCACGCTCGACCAACTTACCCAAGACGAGGGCCTCAAGGCTAGGAACCTCTTGCTCCAACCTCTATCGCAAGAATAGCAGGCGATGCACGGATGGAACGTGACGCATACGTTGATGGTGTTTGAGCACCATCTTCGCCATCGGAGGAAGTCCAAGAGGTTCGAGCAGCCGGAGAGGAAGGGGAAGGGCCGGTGCAAACCTACCAAGAAGGAGAACGAACGGGGGACGGCGATGGTCTGGATGAGGATGTGCACGACCAGGGTAGTACCGACGAGAGCGCTCGGGAGGTGCTTTTATGGACGACAGGGGATCTGCAGAGGTTATACGCGATGGGGTGGCTGTCGCTATGCCTTAGACAAAGTGTGTTCTCTTTTCTTCCCGTCGTTGTAAAACGAGACCGCTGACTCTCCACTCTTTATTCAGGACGCGGCAATTCGCTCACACCTTTTTCGGTCCTCCCGTCGAATCCCCCGCATTCAACGCAACCTTGTATGTCCTCTTCTACAACTTCCGCAGGACCCTAACCCCCTCAACCGCTGGCGGCGCCGAAACACACTTCAAAGCGGCTCCACCGACATGGGCCACCTCGGACAATCCTAAATTTCTTTCGTCTACAACTTCTCGTCCTCCGTCGTCTCGACGCCGCTCGACTGGGGCGACTCGGCATCCCCCTCCGGCTACTAGTTCCTCGACAACCCGGACCACGACTGTGCGCCGAGCGAGGGGCTGTTGGGCTGGATGTGGAAGGCGACGGAGGACGGGAAGAAGATCATGTATGTCCGGTTTGGGAACATCATGGTGCCGAATCCGAGGGTAGGAACACTATCAAGGCAGTGGTGAGGAGTGGTGTTCGGGAGATTGTGATTAGGGAAGATGGTGGATGCATGTAAGAAGACAGAGGGGGAGAAGAGCAGGTTGTTTTCCCGCAGGAGTGTCTTTCGCTTGTTAAGTGAGTCCATTTTTGTTTTCCCAGTCATTGTGCTTTTGATTGATGCTTGTCAGTTCTTTGCGTAGTGGGTTGTTACTGGAAATGAGCATAGGCTGGTGGAGCACCAGTAGAGATTGGGCCTGATGCGCGTGAGATGATGAGATGGGTGTACGTACGGATATTTTTTCGGAGGGTATCAACGATCAGCCTACGGGCTGCGAAAGCAAGTCCCGTTACCTTACATTTCATGGGGCTGTCAGCTTGAGCGCATTCATCCGAGACATGGACATGGGGAGGATGGACGACACCAATTTGTAGAGAAGTGAACTGGCAGTTATTTCTCTGTGCAATTTTTTGTCGTTTTGTGGTACATCGAGGAGAACGGTCGGAGTTACCCGGAGATCTGGGGCTCGCGACTTCGGCATCGCTCGGCATGACACTGCCTCCAGTCACCTCTGACAGCGGAGCCTTCACACCACGTCAAACGACAAACTTCATGCAGTGCTCAGCGAGATTGACGTCTGGAAATGGCCGCGATCCGACTTGAATGCGTGGATCGAGCCCAACGACTTTGATCTCATACTCGATGAGTACATCTGCGACTACTAGGTCGACAAAGTTCAGGTGAACGTTCTCACCACGATCACTGAGAAGACGATATGCGAGATCCTCCGATTTGAGAGGTTAGTGTCGGAGAACTTCGCAAACAGGAAGACATTTATCTCGTACATGCTCAGCACCTCACCAAGGTACGTGTTGGCATGTCTTTGGTGCCGTGATATCTTCGTGAAGCTTACTGTCGACCTTGCTATAGTACGGCCACGTTGATCTCGCAGACACGCAAGCACTCACGGACGAGCTCCGACGACGGAGAGTCTATTTTCTGCGCTGATTACTTCCGTAAGTGTCCCATCGTCATATTCCCCCACATCAGAGTAACAGTGGAAAGGCGTCTCGCTCTGTGCGTGCACGACGACTTCGCCGTCTACTGTTACTCTGGTAAGCTGCTCATCATGGACTTGAACTGATACATTCCCATAACCTTCGAATATAGACCTATGCGAGTCATCCGAGGACGGTCAACGTCTCATAAATGCCATTCGGTCATGCAGTAACAGCTACCGCACCACCTCTGAAGAAAAGCGTCACCTCAAACACATAACCAACGAAGACCTCGACCTGACCTACCAGAATATCCGGCGCGCATCCGAGGTCCACCATTAAGTACGGCACTATGCTCGCAAGCATATCAAGCCGGGGATGACGATGACGGAAATCGCGAACACGATTGAGGATGGCACGAGGGCGTTGGTGGAGGAGAATGGACTGGAGACGGGTATAGGCTTCCCAACGGGATTGAGTCTGAATAATCGCGCGGCCCATTATACGCCGAATCCGGGGGATACATTGGGTGCGTCGTCTCCCTTCTTTTACATTTGTTTGCAGCATTCCGTGTGGCGTGGTGTGGCGCCTTCGAATTGGCATGTTACAGGCTGGCATGGAGCAGAGTGTGCTGACTATGAGAGGTTTAGTGCTGCAGAAAGAAGACGTTTTGAAGGTCGATTTTGGTGTACATGTGAAAGGACGGATAGTCGACTCGGCTTTCACCATGTCTTGGGATCCGACATACGACAAACTCCTTGAGGCGGTCAAAGCCGCGACCAACACCGGCATACGGGTGTGTACCAGGATCCAACTTGTCATTACTTTGCTCGTTTACTGACCAATCGAAACAGGAAGCTGGGATTGATGTACGATTAGGAGAGATCGGGGCTGCTATACAGGAGATGATGGAGTCGTACGAGGTTGAAGTTGGTGGGAAGGTGTACCCTGGTACGCACAAATCTCCCTCCCTCTCTCCTTTCCCGTGAAATGTGGAGATCTCTCTCGCTGATTCTACCGATATGTACTCTTCGTGAACAGTGAAATCCATCGAGAACCTCAGTGGCCACTCGATCAACCTCTACCAAATACACGGCGGCAAATCCGTACAGATCGTCGCGAACAACGACCAGACAAAGATGGAGGAGGGAGAATACTTCGCCATCGAGACTTTTGGGTTGACAGGGCGTGGACGTGTTGTTGAGAGTGTAAGTAATTACAATATTTTTGTCCTTAATCTATCAGACTGACTGGCCATGATCGAATCCTTCTGGGTGCTACAGCGAGACTGCTCGCACTATGCTAAGATTGTTGATGCGCCACACGTTCCGCTCCGGTACGTTGCACACTCCTCTCTCTATTTCTATGTCCATGCAAGGAAACGGCACTCACTTGTAAGTCGGGCTGGGGTGGGGTGACTGTTTGTGAATAACTAGGTTAACCTCTGCAAAGACACTTCTTCAGAGAAGGATATTCGCCGAGGACAGGTCTTTGAGGGACTCCGAGATCCGGGAGCAGGGAGAGCACACTAACGTTCGTAACATACGTTCCCATACCTATTAATCGTGCGCGACATCCTCACGATGCTGTTCCGTAGGCTTTCTCAGGTACTACATGCACAATCGCATCTAGATCTACCGCCCTCCTAGTCTCAACAATCCTCAGCGGGCTCTGTCACGACCGCACATCCTAGTCTCGAGGCAGACCTGGAGAATTTTGTCGGCGCGAACGTGAACGGGACGATTGTACATGCTTGTTTACTCGAGGACTTCGCATACAACAACGAGTGCGTCTTCGTCGGTGCTATGCTCGCCGCGCTTGTGGAGAAGTCTGAAGATGACACTACTGTCTGCATATGTCCATCGTCGACCCTGCCTTTTTGTCCGTCTTCTTCCCCCACACATCCGTCCAAATAGCCAGTCTCGCTGTTAATCGCACTCTACTCACACCATGCCAGGCCACGGCAAGCATTCCCACGGTATCAATTCATTCGGGCCCTCTATAATTTTACTACCAACGGTACCGCCCCCTACATCCACATATTTCTTTCATGTCCTCTTCAGCCGGCTGATGCCTGCACATGATGACCATAGAATGGCTGTATCGAGCAATGCAACGCTCGAAGGATGGTCTCTGCCAATTTGGAGTGGCTTCTGTGGTAGTCCTCATCTGGATTTGAGCGAGATCAACAAGTGTGCGTGTCCTCATAGCCTTCTTCTCTTCCGCACTGTGGCTGGCAAGCGTCTCAACGCAGTCGTTGCAGTGCGGAAGTTCCTTTGCTGTGTCTTTTGTATGGACTCGGATGCTAACTGATTGTTTTGACATATCTCTACATAATTATGACTTGCTATACCCCACACTATACTCGTCTATACCCCACCTTAACAATCCTACAATTACTTCAAGACGGAAGAACAGTTGCCTTTATGCCCAGGTGGCACTATGTGGCGGAGATTGAAACTGCCCAAGATCCTCCATGACGACAACGTGCGCCCCATCACTCCGTCCCGCCCGTTCCCCGCCCGTCCTTTTTTGCCACCACGACATTCCGTAAGTCTCGTCTATTGTCCCTCAGATGGACGGACCTTTTGTCGGGGTATGGTCCACATTCTTCTACAATATTGTAACTTGACTTATGCCTTCGGATTTTTCTGTACAGAATGATGGCAATCAATTACCACGCACCGCCACTCAAGATGCTGGAATGAACGCCGTCTTCGCCACACCAGGTAACCATACGAACTGTGCGTGCACACCCGCTCCTTCTGTCCCACTTTTTTTGACAATAATTTATGGTTGTCCAGCTTCGTCAAACAGCAGCTCGTCGTCACCACATGATTGGCCGATGAACTTCTCATCGGGAGGACCGCATATAGGCAGCGTGGTACGTTCTTTTACTTACTTTTGACGGTCAGTCTTCGATATTCACAAGCGGGAAGGCCTCATCCAGTAACGCAACTCCTTCCGAGAGTGGTTGTGGTATGCGTATGTCACCACGTATCCTCATGGGTAATGTGCCGCTCTCTATGCAGTACGACCCAGAGTCGTACTCCGAAATAGTTCGCCAAAGGGACAGGTACCAAGCCGAGAATACGGCTCTTCGGTAGAGCATCTTTCTTCATTCACAAACATATCCTCTCACTCATCGTGAACATCTTAGGTTCGCTATTGCCCAGCTTTCTTCAGCACCGTCCGGTCCATCCAGTTCTTCCTCCACCGACACCGTTTCAAAACCAAAACTCACCGACCTTCCTCTGATAACGGTATACAGCCCCGAGTCGATCGCTCACTTTCAACAGTGGTTCCCCGAACTCAAGTTCATCGCAAAGGCCTCCTGGAACAAGAGTCCGCTCAATCCGAAAAGGTCTGTCAAGGCCACCAATCCCGACGAACGCCAAGCTGTCCGCGGTCCTTCCCAGGCGAGTCAGGACCTTAACAGACAAGCGGCGTTCATGGAGGGGCCCGATGGTGAGTTGTTGGGTGGGCAAATGGTCCTTGAAGTACGCAGCTTCCACCGAACGTGCTTCAAGGATCTCAAGGATCGAGGCGAAGCCACTTGGTTGTTCACTGACCTGTCCGAGACCGTTCTCACTCGGCTCTGTGAGGAATCGGCAAAGAGGTTCCCCACAGAACGGCTTTGTGTTGATGGATGGAAGGCACGAGAACTGATGAGGCTGGCCTGGCCTGGATGGGCTAAGGAGAATCTCAAAGATTTGAAGCCGGACGCGGCAAAGAGGTGGAAGGGGAAGGCGAGGGCGAAGGAGACGGAGACGGACGCGAAGTCTGTAGATCAACCACTGTTCGCTGCTGAAGTTGTACTCGACTTGCTTCTTCTACATGTTTTCGACGGCCTCGAGCGGATACCGGCGAAGGAAGAAGACAATATCTCTCTCCCTGCGGTAGTCTTTCAACACCCTACCCCTCGTCAAACAGCCCTTCCATTGGACATTGTCCTCGACCGTACGTTATCTTCGTTTGGGCTGGGAGTCACATGGCCTTACCGGTGAGATCTTGCTCACAACGAACTCTTTCATAGCTCTACTCCTTCTCGAGACTCCGAATCCCGGTACGGTCGCCAATGCTGCCCCAAATGCTGAGGAACCTCCCGCGTCCGACGCCGTTTCTCCAGATACCTTATGCACAACATATGGAACTGACACTTACGACGGGTCTCTGACTTGTGCCACTCAACCCGGTGCCACAGTTCCCGAGGGTGTACAAGAACTTGCCAAGGACTCTAGTAAGTTCAACTCCCGGATGTTATTGTCTCTAACGATGCTGACTACTACGTGTTGTGAGACCTGCCAGCGAAAAGATCACTTGACCAGGTTGCAATCGACTTGGAACAAGTTGCCACGAGCCCGTCCACCGAGTCGTCCAAGCGCTGCAAGATCTCCTAGGCTTCGGGTACGGAGCAAACTTCAAAGCTACCTACGCCGACGGCACCATCCAAACCCTCGACGACGGCGTTGTAAGTTCTTATTCTCACGATATCTTTTATATTTCTCATGACCGTTGTAGTTCGTCGGCCGTGTTCAAGCCTCTCCATCATACTCCACTCCCGACGAGCATCGCTGGCCCTAGTACGGCACACGGCGGTAAGAGAACTGATCTACTCTCCTCCGTGTGTAGCTGACATCGCCAATCATATTTAGATGCTTCGTCCCCGCCAACAAAGGTATGGTTCTTACTCGGGACAAGGGCCGGGCACTAATACATCTTCTTTCTTCTTAGGCGTCTCATATGTCGAAGCAACCCAAGGAAACGAAACCAAAGCTCTCAGCAGCGGACTTGCCGATCTATCCTAGGGAGAACAACGTCACTGGAAGGTTAGTTCGTCGAGTCGATCTCGCTGACAAACGTTACAGTTCTCACTAAAGTCTCGGTATCACAGGGAGCTCCAACCTCGAGAGTGGCTCGACAGTCAGGAAGTTGGCGCTACGAAAGCGCGATTCAATGCATACTTTGGGACAGTTACAAAGGAGGTTACCAAGGTGAATTAAACTAGTTTCTCTAATGCTGGATATCACCGCATACTCACAACACGGCTCATGTAGGTCTACAATAAAAGAGCATCTGAGCTTGTATGTCTCCTCTTGCATTTTTCTTGATACCGTCCAACTCACGCGATGATTTTGTTCCACAGAAAGCTCAGGGCGTCAAGTGTTTGGGGGAGTGGGTGCATCCGAAGTATAAATAACTGCATAGTAATACGGTACAGTGCATTCCTCTCGTAACATATCCCCATCGCTAACAATCATCTCTGTTCACAGCCCTGGTTTGTGATGCTGTCCGAATCGCCTTGCTTGTCTCGCTCACCCACGCCCTCTTCCTTTCGACAATACCTCCGTCGCTCACGCTCATTCAGTCCCACTCTATGCATTCTGACCGCCTCTCGTTTCCTCTACATCCTCTTCCACGGGGACTGCTACGAAGGCAGTGGCACCGCCGTGGGTTTTTTTTGATAATCTCGGACACTTTCTTGTGGATGTATGTGTATCGTTGTGGATGGATCCATTCCGGATATTTCTCACAGTCTCGGTAACGTAGATGTGTACATTGTGAGACGAAGAATTGTACGGTAACAGCGCAGGGAGGGCGTAGTAGGGAAGAGTAGGGAGGGTGGCGAGGTAGGGAAGGGTGGCGGAAATTAAATAAAAATGATTACCCAATCCAATCGCGTGCCAGAACAACCAAAACGGGTCAAAAGGTGATGAATCGTACTGAATCCCACTGAATGACATTGAATCGCCACGAATCGCAAGCGCGCCGACGATCCCTTGTGGCCTACACGATTGAGCGTCGTCAAACGGTAAAAAAGTGTGATTCACTGCGATTCACCACGTACGTCGTCCTCAATCGCCCTCAATCGCAGCGAAACGTTCGATTTTTCACTGGGTCTGATCCCTCGCTAAACGCTGGTCCAACCTCCGCGAATATGGTGTCAGTTTTGTCGACCTCGTCATAGAGAGCGGCGAACACATCGTCGAAGAACTTCCGTCCGTCGATCCCGTGTCTGAGATCTGACGTTCCAGCAACACCGGTGCGGAGACCATCCGCAACCGCAGCCCCTACATCGGAAAACGCCAACCTACCACCAACATCAGGCGCGGTGAGCATCCACATCGACACCCAGACTCTCGAAAGCAAGCCCACGATGGACATTCTCGCAGGTGTCATCGAAAAGTACGATGTGCTTGAACCCGAACGCTTCGAGCTTATGTGCCGAATTCACACAGCGCAGGTTCTCATCCCTGGCCGCGACGAGGAGAGGGAAAGGGTCGTCGTTGGCCGTCTCCTCGCGAACGCGATCTTTGTCCACACACATCCAGAATCGCAAGCCATGTCCTTGCTCTTCCTCTACAAACCCAACCGCATTCCACATATCGCAGAACTCTTGGGTCTTCGCCGTGGCGTCCATTGCCTAGTGCCACTCGTCCGTTAGCCCATCTGTTTCCGTCCCCGGCGTGAAATGGCAAGCTAACCTCGTTCTGAATCGCATTCCAGGCTCTTGTAACATCATGTGCGGCGTTCTTGCCGGAGTCGCGGATATGGACGGCTTTTGTGATGTGGATGTTTTCATCTCGATGGTCAGTGCACATCTTCAGGAGCTTGTCCTTCTCTAGCTTGCTGAGCTGATGGTATTCTTCGTTGTTCTGTGCCAGATTCACCAAGGTCTGACGTGCTTCAGACCCCACACCTATCGCTGCAACAGAAACATCTAGCCCGAAACAAAGGGGCATTGTTGGAGGAATGAGGGGTTCGTGCTATCTAGCAGACTGTACATACATACTGACATGCTTCCACATAGGTCGAAATAATCTCAACGACATGCCACATCGATTTCTTCCAAACAAAGGGTGTGCTGCGAACCTGATACATGACAACGTGCAAGCTGAATCCCAGTAAGTCACATCAATCGTATAATGTCGTAGTGAGCAATTGTTGACTCGACGTACCGTGTAATAGGTGTCAAGACCCCTCTACTCGACATATTGCGAGCGATCGCATCTGAACAGCTTGCCGATGCACGTGATAGCGGATGTAAATCTGGCGCTTATCGCGGTGAAGATGAGATCAACTCACTCGACTCTAGCTGCGTCACCCCCACAACGCACCGCTATTGATCGCTACTTCGTCGCACGAACTACCATCGCATCTAAGAGTATAAGACCGCGCCGTGTAATCTACATACCTACAAGACTTCACAAAGGTGAGAACGGACCGTCGGAAAAGTTTCAGAATTAGCGTCGAGGTACGCCTGATTCACCTCTGCTTTTCTTTCATGGTCCAGCTAACACGTACACCGTCCTTCGTATCATTACCTCGACTTAGCTTCATTAATTATCATCAATTCGGAGTCAGTTGCGCTCTCAGCCCCTGACTCCTCCTTCACTCCTAAGCAAACACCGACCATCTCCCCTTCAACTGCTCAACTTGCTCTCTCAGATCCGTTTGCCTTCAACCGGACCCCACTGCCCGCCCTTCCCTTGTCACTATCTGGGTGTTTTCAACCATCGTTCGTCTTTTTGCCTTCTACTACCCACACCTGTCATATCACTCTGCACCCTAAGAGGCCTCGCCTCTCGCCTTCGTCGTCGTAAGCGTACGCACATCTCGGCTCTGCTTTTTTTTTCTGCGTTTATCTCCCGATCATGCTGACCGCCTCCTGCGCGTCTCGACTAATCGTCTCTCGAAATCAGCCCCCTATGATGTCTATCTCAGATGCTCAACAAACACCGGCGAATCCCTTATCGTCAGTCTCAATTTCTTCGAAGACGAAGAGCTCTGCTATGTCTATGGAACGTGATCTAAACACCTTTGTGGGCAGACTTGAGTCCTGGATTCGAGAGATAAGTGAGCCACCCGTCGAGGAATTTGCCGGTGTGTATTTAATCGCTTCTCGTTTGTTAGAGTACTGGTGTGTGCCTAGTCTGTAATCCAGGGTATGGTGAAGGGATCTTACCCTGGCCAACCCGTTGGTCTGAGTGGTCTGAGTCGCGCTCATGAGCAAGATGGTCCAAAACTCTGTCAGATTCGAACGACGGTTTGATGTAGTAGTGGCGAGAACTGCAGCCGGTGCGTCGTGAAACTGGTCTTCTCGGGAGGTTCAGGGTCGTGGGGCTCACACTGACAGGACTCATTTCGGCAGTACTGGTAATAAATATGCTCTGCTTTGTAACAGCAGGAGTGTTTTGCATTAAAATAGCGAGCGGCCGAAACCTTTGACAGGTGATCTGGGTTATTGAGTGGTTCTTTGCACTTTATCCAGTATGCACAACGACGACTACTCGTAAGCTGAAGGATGTTAATGTAGAACCGTGGTGAACGTGAAAGGTGCAGCTGCAGACGTTACAGCCGAAGAAGCGTAGAGGAATGGTTAAAGTGAAAGAATACTGTCCGCTCTCTAAAGCTTCATCCTAGTGCATTTTCTCTTCTGATACTTGACGTTGGCATCCTCTCACGGTCTTGCGTTTATCCTCAGCGACAGAAAAGCACCCGATAGGCTTGAGCTGTAACATTTCTTGTGTTTTCCATAACGATGGTTACATGGGTCGTCGAGATTATGGCCATTGTGCGATACCTACCGATGACCATCGCCTATAATCGGACGTCACCACTGCCGAGCGGCAATTCCTCATCTCCAACTCATTCCTGAGGACCGGCTCCTTTGCAATTTAATCCCAGGTCCCCTGTTTAGAACGGTCAACGCTTTCGTGACTGAATATCGAGGGTTTTTGGTAAGTCTATCTTCAGTTGTTATTATACGCTCGTCTACAGGTGGACAGGGCAGGAGCCCAATGTATCGGCAAAAGAAGATGAAACTGTGGGCAAACGTGGTGCGAACACGATGCGAGCCAAGGTGATCGGTACTCCGAGCCTTGGTGAGCGGTACTCCGAACCAAGGTGATCGGTACTCCGGACCCAAAGTGAGCGATACTCCGAACTGCGAACTAAGATGATCCTACTGGTGAGTCATGGTGCGAACGCAGGTGATCCCGTTGGTGAGCGGTACCCCGAACCATCTCTTCCTCCCACTGAGAAGCCGTCTCCCAGGATATCCAACGAGCTGGTTTTATGATCTCGGATGTCCGATCGGAGTTGTCCGGGCGCTACATTTCTCGCGCTTCTGTAGAATAACTTTCTAACTCCATAGACTGTTAGCGTCGAGATGTTGAATTGTCTACCTTTGAGTACGTCTTTGGTTGCTACCCATCCTTTAAAGTGGTTAACGTACTGATCAATCTTGAATTCAGAGTATAGGCGTGTAAGGATCTGAGTGTAGCACTCGGCTGCGTAGCTCTCTAACAATCTATTGCCTATGGTTCACGGAAAGTATATACTCGACACTCATTCTCATCCTGCAAGGTTATCCTGGAGAATGAGCCTCTTGTTTGCGTCATACGTCAAGGTTACACACATCAAGTATATAGAGAGCCGCGTATGACGGCTTTGGTCAAACCTGGCGCTGATACATGGTGTCGGGCCTTGTGAGAACGCTCCTTTACTTATATTTAAGCTCCGGTGAAGTTGCGGGGGTCTACAAATATTTTTGTCCACACCTGACATCTTGATATTCAATCCTTTAAGCTTCTGCAACAACTGAAAATATAGGAGCACACGAATCCAGTCGGTGTCAATATACGTGTACAATTTAATATCTACAAAAAAGTGCACCACCGCGTCCTCGAGCAGTCTCAGGGAATTCAAGAACGAGCCCGAACAGTTTCAAACATTAGAGACGACAGACTTGGCTCTTTTACCCTCGGTATGCGCACTTTGAAAGGTTAGGTCAGCAGGAACGCATCAGATTTTATCAGAGACTACTCACCCGCCCTCCGAGTTCCGCTTCAAGCGGGAACTCCGTCGTCGAGGTGCAGCGATTACAGAGGAGCCCTCTTCGATCTCTCTTTTTCCTTCCCCTTCTGCTTGACGACACTATAGTTAGACTTCATAACAAGATACGAGGACAAGAAGAAGGGTGTGGACAAACTGACCGCGCCAGTACTAGTGCTTGGCCCAGCAGCAGGTGGCGTGTTTGACATCGTGCGGGATCCTCCACCAGGATAAAGCAGGGTCATGTCCACATCAGAAGTGGTCTCGCTTGCCTGTTACGAGTCATCATCTATAGAAAAGAATTATAAAACACACTTACGGGCTGAGCGAAATTCTTAGACCGGGCATCAACGTTGCGTCCATTGGCTGCCGGAGCAGGCTCGTCAGCCTCCACGGAGTGCCTAAAGTGGGCGACGAGCTGGTCGAACAAGTCCTAACCAAATGATCAATATAAAGACATAGTATCGGCATGATCAAGTTGTTCACTCACGACGTTCTCTGCATCTCTGTCGTCCGGGGCGAGGACACCCAGGACGCCTTCCACGCGTTGCTCTTCGGCCTTGAGAACATCAATGTCATTAGTGTTCTGTTGTCATAAGAGATAGAAAGAAAGCATACCAATCGTTGAACCTCAGAGAGCAAAGCGGCACAGATGAACTGCCGCAATGCGGCATACTTAGCCTCTGCGGCGTTGGTGCGCTCGTCCGCATCCTGGACGCGTTGCTCGGCATCCTCGACACGCCGCTCGGCGCCTTCGAGGACTTCAATGACGACTGAGCTGTCTGAGAGGACACCTTCCAAGAGGTGTTGAGATTTGTAGAGACTTTGTAAGAGTTGGAGAGGGTTCATGTTAAGGCGATACGAGGATCAGGAAGGCGCGGATAAGAACTTCGAAGGGACTTGGGAGGGACGGGCTATTGGCGGTCATTATAAACGATTGGAAGAATTGAATTTATCGTTCGCCTGCGGATATCTAGAAGCCGTCACAAGTCACCGTTGGACATTTGAGGAAGTCCAAAAGCATTGGCAAAATTTGATTGACGGACTTCGCGCTTCCAAACCTTGTTCGTGCAGGAGCCATCGACAGCCCACGTGAGGCTACGGCTAGTACCTGGAACCGCACAGGATCCGTTGCAAATCTGAGACCGATTCACCTCCAGGACATATTGTATCAACATCTCAAGACAAACACGACTGGCAGACCGTTCTTGGCAAATCTGGCACAAGTGTTCCCCGCTTTCAGCATAAAGACTGACTGAGGAGACTAGGTCTGAGCGAAACATTGGTCTGGACTCGCCATTTACATGCAACTGAGGGCTTTGATGTCGAAGCCAATCTCCGGGACGAACGTGGATGTACGTTAGAGAATACAAAGTTGTTTCGTCCGGCGTGAGCGCACGACGATCAATGGACGCCAATTCTAGGATTTTGCAATGGCCAACACGCAAATCGCCGTCATAATAGAGAGGCTCACGGACAAAGTCAATCACCCACTCAGGGGCCAGCGTTTTGGGAAAATACTGATTCAGGGAAAATAGGTGGTAAGGGCCGCGGTTTCGACCATAGACCCTGAATTGACAGAACTTCTGTCTGCCGTCACCCATCCATGTAACCACCAAAGACCGTTGAACACCGATGAGTAAGGAGTTTTTCGATGAATCCTATCCAAAAATTATTACCTTCTTTTTCTCTCCCAAGTATTTCGAGTATGCAAAATGGTCATGTCACCATCACGCAGCTCACCTTCGGAGATAATGTGGGCGCATGTCACGGCAGAATCTGACTGCCATCTTGCATCGGCAGAGAATCCTTCCTCTTCTATCCCAGGGCAGTTGCAACGGTGAGACTGTCGACTCTTCAATTTTCATCTCTCAGCCTCTACTCCGGATAGGGTTTGTGGGACAGAAGCATAACGCTGGTGGGCGCAAGTCAATGAGTGTCGAAATAGTACGATCTTTCATGTTGATATCGCAACGGTATGCCCAAAAGCCAAGGACCGCTCTCAGAGAGGAGCCTCGATTGAGAGATGCAGGATGTGTAGTGTTGCCACTCGCCGAGAACACAGTGATTCCGTGTAACATATATTGGGCGCTCTCAGGGCATACGGGTATCCCCTAGACGGACTTCTAGCCAGTATCGTCCATTCCATGTTATTTGTGCACTTGTCAAGTGATAGCGAGGTGCTCGAGGGCCAATCAATAGCACAATATTTCTATATTCTGAGTCACCAACCAACTAGCACGTTCACTTTCCTCAACAGTGTAAATGATGCCGAGAGCTCAAGTAGAGAGCCAGTAGTATTGAGAGTTGAAATGAAGTCACGACTCTAACAGCTAACCGTGACTTCCATACGAATAATGAACTGGCGGGGTTTCTGTCCAAAGGGTCACTATTCCCTGAAGGAGAGCGGTGATCGTGCACGCGCAACGAGCTTGGGCTATACAAAGCAAATGGTAGCAATGGATAGAGCGCGATGCCGGCAAAGAGATCATACGAGAGAAAGACTTCCAAGATCGTTAACACCAAAGTTCACGAACCGTGCTCCCGAGAATCAACAGCCTCGTCGTAGTATGAGCGAGGTACCGCACAATGACCATAAGACGGTCTGAACAACCTTTATTCCTGCCACAACCTTGACTGCGCCCGTGTCTTCGGAATTCGTCGAAGAGAAGGTATATGTGGGAGCGTTACCGTGGCGTTCCGCAACGGAACTCAGGAGGGGAGGTTCGAGATGGTAATTAAGCAGGTTGAGTACAATAATTTACAAACAACGCGTCTTCATCACTTCCCGAAATGGGATGAACAGCGCTATGCATGGATAACTGTTTTGAGCTTACCGGAGACACAGCAAGGGGGCCCGCCACAGTTGTACTCCTCTCGGAAACAAGGATTCCGCAGTCCTATGTAGATCCGTGTGTAACCCCATCTTCTGTGATCACGGTCAAGTGCAAAATAAAGCACGCACAATTCTCTCTAGTAACGGATAGAAGTAGCTTTGATAGGAGTGGGAGCATACCTTTCTTCGAAGATGCGAGAAAGACATTTGTGTGGAGGTACTGAGGAATGAGTACCGTCTAACTCCTTGAGGATGGAAGAAAGGAAACCGTCGAACAATTTGGCATTTACAGACTTCTCCGTTTCCCATCCTTCCGGAAACTTCCGTGAGAACTTATCGTCTGATGAGCGACTTGAACGTACCTAGGTTCAAGCGTGCCTGAAAGCCTTCCCATCACTCGATCTCCGCGGTCGCAATGTTTACAGGGATAAGTGGAAATTAGGAACTGCGCATGAGCAAAGGTTTGAAGACCCATATGCGTTCTCACTCGAGGTCCTGTACACAAAGCGACCGATAGAATTGGCCAAAGCCGGTCGATGCTTGTTCAGGGTTCGTCGGCGATGTCGCAATGAAGGAAGGATCATGGGAACGAACATTCTTACCGAATTGTGCCAAGGTTGATTCAGGTTACTTCAGCTGTGGCATTTGTGAAGACGCAGGCGAACATCGTCTCGAGACCCCCGAGACGAAGGTCTGCTGCCTATAACGACGCGGCAACGGTAGAACGAGTGCTATGAAACGGTCAAGGCAAAGAGTTACTATAGAGGAGGCAAATGGATGTAGAATCAACATACTGGAGTAAAACATCCTCACATCTTGCTGGGACGCAGGGCCACACTCACGCATAAGTCTCATAAGACCCAGCAGTCTCGAACCTCATGACATGTAGTGTCGAATGATCAAGAACGAGGTCTCATATGCGATACAATTGGGTCTCTTGGTCTCTTCAGAGGTAAGTATCAGTGAGGCCAGAGCTAAGATGGCGCGGAGGAAGGAACTCGTAACTTGCGCAGCATCTTATAGTATAATCTAGACCTGGAACTACTCCATCAGCACTCTCTACAAAGTCTCCGCTGAGAGCGACTTACGAACGCAGGCGCGGTCTCTAGAAGGCATTTGTCTTAAGTTCGACAGACTCGACCTGCCTGAGTTTTTGAGAGTACAGCTTGTTATCAGAAAGCCGGAGACAGACTCCGCAGACGGCCTGTAAGCCCCTGGGTTAGCTCTGACTGTTGTCCTGACCATACGGGTCGGGACATAAGCCTTTTATGTGTGTGTCGACTGGAGCAAGTGCTAAAGGCCTGAAGGTAGGCGTCTCTGTGATGGCGCTGAAGATATGAACCAGGTAAGGAGTAGAGAATGTGATGGTGGTGGTGGCGGTGGCGGTGGCGGTGGCGGTTGAGCTTTTCCACCTCGCCGCTCAGAGTGATGCACATCGTGGACTCGCCTCGAAAGAAGCGATAGTTATGAAAATTCCTCGATGAAAGAGAAACTTCCGTCGTCGAGTTGCTGATCTCGGCTATGCATTCCTCACTGACATGCAATATATCTTGGTGATCATCGATAATACATACTATCTCCTCTTCCTGGGAATTGGACGACGGATGGTATCGGACCTTCAATGATCTTGGACAGTTGGGATTGTCCAAGGTGAGCAGAATCGAGACAGTAACACTTGTGCGGTGTAATATCTTTCAGAGAACAACCACTCACACGGAGCGGACGACGCTTGAATTGGCAGGATATAGAAGGAAACGAGACAGAGTTGAGAAGTCCGGTGCGCGTTTCTTTGCCAGGAAGTCAGAAATACATAATACTCACAAGACAAAGAGGATATATAAGGATGAAAAAATACTATCTACCGGTTTTTTTCGCAAAGCGATCGGCCTTCTGTGTCTTCTTCTCCCTCACTCCTCTCGATATGGCCGGGTATAAAATCAGGATGATCGTACGATGTCATCGAGAGGCTGACTTCTGCGAATGAATACGACATACCGAAGGACAAATTCTCCCTAAAAAGGAGGGCGTCGGTACTAGGCTTATGCTGCATCAGCAGATCTCTGCTCACACGCTGTTGTGAGACTTGACCACAAATACAACTTGTCACTGTATTAACGCTTGATTGCCAGAGAAGTTCAGCGTCGCGCCTGTTATGACTCCACATGAAAGACAATTTAACAACGTACATGTACATTGAAAATACCGGCGAGCAGCCCAATCGTCGTAGTCTGTATGGAATGCCGCGTCGATGGAGCATGGCTGATGAGCTTCCTCTCTTTGCGAAGCGTTGTAATGGACCCAAATTTCGTGTCTGCTGTGAGAGTGAACCTGCGAATGGTCCTCGACCGTACGTCAGACCAAAGGTACGTAAAGCAACTCGGTGAGTGATGGAGAGAACAAACGAAAGCCGTACCTGACGCAATTTATATGCAACCTCACACACCCAAGACGCCGTTGCCCATCCCGTGTTGTCGTGCAGTAGAATCTTGAGGTCGACCTTTATCGAATCAAGGTTGAACTATTCCTGAAACGTGTTGAGGCTTTTGATCTACGACCCGGAAGCTACGAGCGTTAAAACGAAAGCCATTGATCGGAAGAATAAGATGTTGAGAGACTCAATGGTCACGTACCTTGACCGCCCCGTTACGGGCAATGACAACAACATCGAGAGCGCTTACAACGACCTCGCTACCTGGATTATGATCCCAGGTCATAATGGCCGCCTCGGCAGATGAGACCAAGACCGGGGTTGACGACATGCGCAAGGGAGCTGTCATGGTGCAATCAATGATGGTCTACTAGACGAGACGGTGATTGAGCTAAGATCACTTACGCATGTCTGGCAAAGAACTGAGCAACCAAGGGAAATAATTCGGAATTTACTTCGGTTCTCGGGTAGTTGAATCATAAACGAACAGAACGTATGCACTGTCGATCGACCTCGGCTTCTCAACGTCGAGCTCACTCACAGCCGACAATACAACATCAGCGAACATATTACCAGTGACTTTCAGCCGAAATCATGTACCTGCGAAGATGCACGGGAATCTAGCGAGACGACCTTCAAGGGTGGAAAGTTAGGGCCGCGGTGGTACGATGGTCACGGTGGAGGGAGCATAATAAACAGTCCTAGAGAAACGCACACCCTCATCCGCGCCACCAGGATGAGCAGGTAGCTGCAAACTATGCAAAAGGTGAGATCGACACCTGTAGTGAACAACACCGCAAGAGATTAGACGTCTTTAGCAGGTTCATGCACATGTACTCTTGTGGCCAAAGTACAAGAGACGAGTGCCGGGCCAGATGTACAGCAGCGAATGGTCATTCTGCGACACTACGTGGCAATAGACGCAGTACGATGACAAGTACGACCTGTGGTGGCTTCCCAAATTTTGAGGGCGGCAGAAGGAAAGCAGAGCATTCGTGGGAAAGCAATAGGTCGTTAGCGCCTTCAAGACCGCTTCTAGCCTGGGCCAATCAGAGCTCCGCCACTCTCTCGCTGTCCACCGCTTCATGCCCTACGTCATCTTGGGACTTTTCCCTCCTCGTGATCTCTACTTCAACTTGATTCTCTCGTTGTTCGAACGATAGTTCACTCTGTGGCTTCAACATCTTTCGATTCTCCGGCGATCGCCGTGCACGAGTACGCAGTAGTGGTGTCTTTGGAAGGAACGGTCACAGGGTAGTAATTCGCCGGAGGGCTACTGTTGAACAAGACTGTAGGTGAACTAGGTTCGTCTGTCGTACAAGTTGTTCCGGCTGCTAGAAGAGTGATGTGCTTCCTACCATCTTGGAAGGATTGTTAGGAGGAAGGCAATCTTGCCAATCGAAATATAACTCCGTTAGTATCATCGTAGGGACCAGTATCGACTTGGCTCTAAACTACTTACTTACCTTACTTACCTTACCTTATTACTCGGATGTAGACTTTCGGTCAGAATCGGTTTCTCCGTAGAGCGCCGTTCTGCTATGTCGAATATTGTACATCTGGAATGTCACAACTGTACACCGGGCAGTCTCTGCATGCGCTTCCCTGACTTTCCTTTGCGAGAGCGGTCTCTGTTCCTGTATGGGACTTCACCCCGGCGAGTCAGACCTAGCACCGTGGATTGCTTGGCCTACCATAGATCTGCGCATTGCCGGGGCACCTGCGACATCATCGTGTGCGCGAGCATATACTGTATTTAACATGTTTCCGCACGTATAGGCCCTTTCGCCGGGAAACGTCAATTTTAGAAGGAGCAGTCGGAGTGCAAGCCGTAAAGTTACCTCGCGTCACAAATCCTGCAACTTCCCGTCCCGAATGCAGGGCCGTGAGAGTGACGTCCGTTTTTTGCGACGGGACATCTGGAAATGTATGAGCCCGATGCTACGGTCAATGGGCGGCCATGTCGTTGCATTCTGGCCTTGCCCTTGATCCTTCGTTGATATATACGATCACCCAGTCTGAACCAGCAGGGCACCCGCTCAATCGAGGTTTGATATGCTTGCCGCTAACAGCTCTGCTACCCCCGCTCCTGTTGATAGCACGCGCGAGGATCTCGACGACGACAGTCTCCATCTTGGTTGTCCTTTGCAATCCAGCTTCAGCCATTTGATACGGAAGGACCAGATACTGACTGCCGATGCCCATCCAGCATCCAACTGCTCGGATAGGCCCTCTCCAGCTCCCACTTCTACGCCCTCCATCAATCAGGATTCACAGTCCCCACCCGCCAATGAAACTTGGGATTTGATACCGTACGACGTTCCCTGGGGTCGTGAATATCAGAACTATCGCCCTGGTGTTCTCCCCGGTCCCGATGGCGATTGCGTATTCTTGCGATCCCCTACTCCTGATTCCGTCGAGCAGCATCGGAAACAGCGCACGGTCGAGGCATGCAGGAACTGCCGTGAACGACACTCTAAAGTGTGTACTTCTTTTGTCTCTATTTTGTCCCAATCATTTATTCCTATCTTCACGCCATAAAAATACCCCTAGTGCTCCGGAACTCGCCCTACTTGTACTCGCTGCATCAAGAAGGGTCTGCTCTGCAATTACGCCTCCGAGACCCCCCCGATTAAGACAGAGGAGGCGTGCCAGGTGTGCCGCCAACGAAAGTTAAAGGTGCGCCCTTCTATTGGTCTGTTCCGTGCGAATTGTTGATTCTATGATATCTCTCTGACATTCACGGCATTGCAACGCCTCTAGTGTTCCGGCGCCCATCCTGCTTGTGCCCGTTGCGCTGTCAGAGGATCTGTTTGCCAGTACGCCTCGAATAACAAACATCGTGAACACCATCCGCATACAGTTGTTTCCTGCACGTCTCCGGCCTCCCGAGTACAGAACCTGCGCCGCGTCAGGAAGCAGCTCTTGCTTCCTAAAGCCGGATCTCCTGTTGTCAAGGAACTTTCGGTCAAGCAGGAGAAGCTCGACCTAGACGCCATTGGCTTTTCCCTCAGCCTCGCGGGCGATCACACACCCGCGAGCCCTACCTCGATGTCTTGGGAGTCGTCAACTAGATCGGAGGAAAGCGAGGGATTAAATCCTTTCTCCCACGTTAGCTCGTATACTGTCGATTCCCCTACCGACGGTGAAAACGACGAATCCATCATTCTACCTCCGTACAATCAGAGACCCTCCTTGCCCCATGGAGAGTTGTTGTCTAACGCCAGCGCCTTTCATTCCTTCCCCAATCCGAGCTCATCCGCCTTCGTTCCAAATCCTATCCGTCAAATGGTCCCCACGTCTCTGCTTGAGGCAGACAGCATGCGCTACGTGCAGCCATACGAGGACGTCAAACCCGACCAGACCAATATGTTCGCCGCCGCCGCCTCGTCGCCACACGAATCATGTGACTTACGCGGTTTGATCCCGTCATCGTGGGTGGACCACTATGAGTTATCGTCCTCTCCATATCTGCCGTGGGCTGCTTATGTGGGAACCTCTGATTATCTCACTACCTGTGGCGACTTTCCGTTTCAATAGGGGCCCTACTCTGGGTACGCGCAGATTTGATCCATTTTTGTTTCCCTTTGAAGCCGGCGTCGATATATGTCTCTACGGGTCAACGATGAATATTTTATTTTGTTTGTACGTGACCAGTACCCACAATTCCCGGCTGGCGTCATCATGAGTCTGTGTCTTGCCCTTCGCTTATCTATTCGTCACCCTGCCGATCTCCGTTCATCGTACGCGACAGCAATCTTCGCGTCTACGATCTTTGCAATCCGGCCGTTGCATCACCCACGTACTCTCGTTATGAAACAGATCCTTTTGTTCCCTTGGATAATTGTTTTTCAGTCATTCGCTGTCTACTCTGGCCTCACACGTACTGAGATACTGTACCGTCCTTCTTCCTAAAGCAATATTTGTTTTGCAACGCTACCCTTCGTTATCCTCTTCCGGGTGATACGACAGACAGGCTCTTTATCTACGTTCTAGATGCCAATTATGGGTGATGGAAGGAACGAAGGTTATATGTCCGAAAGATCAACTAAGCTTGTGAATAGGGAGTGATGAGCCATAAGACAGGGCGGACCCGACGGCTATAACGAATCGCGTGTATTACTGACATAGCTCTTGAATGAAATACATGCTTCACTCGATAATGGGTCCTCGCCGCCGGTCAACAAGATAGCCAGCATCTAAATCACAGACACTCTCTAGAGTACCCAGTGGTCCGAGACACCATATCTCCCTAGAATGGCACCCATTTTGTCGGTCGCTCGTGTCAGGACGAGCTCTTCAGCCACGCAGAGAGCACAGTCACCCGGACGTTACTCAGACGCAATTGCTGTCTTGCTCTATGTTGATGAAGCGTACAGCTGTGACTTAACTGCAATCGTCCCAGTTTGCCTGCTAGACGGCTATACCGCGCACTAAGAGCCAAAGACGTCGACAGTGTACCTGTCAGGTCCTAATGATCGACATATGGTATAGGAAAAATTAACGTGTTAATAAAATCCAAATGCGGGCCGTGCGAGAGGAGATAAGCAACAGACGATACGAACACGATAACTGATTATTGACGAGAACAATACCAGGGAAAACGACAAAGCAAAAAGAAAACAGTCACACGGTGACGGCAGTATACAGAACGACAATGTTGAGGACTATGTAAGCATCAGGAAAAAACGACATGCATGTTCAATGTCAAGAAATCACCATCTACGTAAACGAAAACCACGAACAGCCCCAATGACCTGCCTCAATGCGTGAGAATCCAGGCTTTCGCAGCGTCAAAGTTGAAGAACCCTTGAACGACAGGTTCAAAGGGCAATCGCCTGGTCAACAGATACATTTCCTCGCTAGAGGATATTGTGAGTAATAGGATGCTTGCAATCGATAGGAAGAATGCACATACAATGTTCCAACGATTGTCCGAACCCGCCCACGAGCAATCGCATAATAGCGGTGTCGGCTCTGGGAAACGAATCGAGAGCGCGGATTGAGGGTGTTGATGAACTGTTCGAGGTTAAATATGTCGTCTTCGGTGGCGGGGATGAAGGTGTTGATTTTAAGAGGAGGCGACAAAGAGTGGCTGTCAGCGGTTGCTCCATGCCCATACCTCTAAGAAGAAAGCTTCAAAGTCGGTTTGGAAAGGCAGTGACAAATTCACTTACAAACTGGAATGACGAACCTGCGGCTCTAGCGGATTGACCGTTGGTCGAGAACTTGACTTTGATGCTATCGCCAGTTCTGCGTGACGAGTCCGACGTCGATTCTGTCTTGAAACTTGTATCTCCGGTGTAATTTCCCGCACTTAGTGACGATGAGTATGAACCTGGAGAAGTAGGAGGAGGAGGAGGATAAGGATGATGCGATGCCGGAATGCTGGATACAGGTTGGCTCTGGCGGAACATGCGGTTGAGCTCTTCTCTGGCTTCCGCCATGGTCCAGAAAATGTACGCCTGGGCGCCGGGAATGAGGGCGGAAGCGGCGGCCTCGCTGATGACCAACCATCGTCAAACCTTGAAGAAAGGATGTAATATTCGGGACAATTGGAATGGAAATCTTACAGCGTAGGATATATCGCGAGCTGAGGTGGTCAATGAAATCACCACCTCCTTGATATATCAAGGAAGGCGTAGTATACTTAGCCATTGAAACCAGAGGGTTCAGTAAAGTGACTCGTCTCAGTACTTTAAAGTACTGAGGCTTCTGGGGCACTATGGTATAGTACTGTGCTAGTAAAAGTGCGCAATGCTGGTTTGTGGGTATAGTACTTTTGCTCGTTGTAGTACTTTCTGCTGGTATAGTACTTTTCGCTTGTTTAGTACTTTCTGCCAGCCTAGTACTTTCTGTTGCCGCAGTATTTTCTGCTGGTGTAGTACTTTCCACCCTCGTAGTACTTTCTGTTGGCGTAGTACTTTTCATCGGTGTAGTACTTTCCACCCTTGTAGTACTTTCTGTTGGCGTAGTACTTTCTGCCCTTGTAGTACTTTCTGCTGGCATCGTACTTTCCGCTGGGCATCGT